AGGCCCATGCACTATTCCTCTTCCACACCCATCGATCGGGTGCTAAGTTGTGACGACCAAGTCTTTTTGGTCCACTTGCGCTTGCAACCAAACGCCTTAATTTTCTTCGAATGGTAAACGACCTCCATTCATGGTGACAAAATGAAATAAAAGCAAAACTAAACTAATAGTGAGTAGCACAAACAAAGATGAATTCGTACTTGCGCTTGCAACCAAACGCCTTAATTTTCTTCGAATGGTAAACGACCTCCATTCATGGTGACAAAATGAAATAAAAGCAAAACTAAACTACTAGTGAGTAGCACAAACAAAGATGAATTCGTAAAGGAAAAGATACAAGTTTCCTATATGAAAAGGCATCAATGGAATACTACCAAATTGTTCTAGTGGACTAAAAGCCATTATGAATTCCCTTTTCTTTTTCCGGAGCTTTTGATGATCGATCTCTCAAAGCCAAAGCAATCTAATATACTCGAAGAAAAGCAAAGGTCGTAGGCTCGCTAGCTAGAGAAAGATTAATCACTACAATGATACTTTTTTCTATTTTGTTAAGCCGCGTGGTGTCGTTGCTTGACGAGTTCGCCGACATCTTCGAGTCTCCTACCAATATGATGCCCGATTGGCCCATCTCCCATAAGATCATTCTTGATGCTGGTGTCGTGTCGTAGAAACGTTACATATATTTTATGAGCAAGGAAGAGCTCGCAATTCTTTGCGCGCAACTCTACGACTTGTTGGACGAGGGCTGGATCCACCCTAGCAGCTCACCATATTGTGCGACAATTATCTTCATACGGAAAGAACAAGGACCTTCACTTGTGCATTGCCTTTCCCAAGCACAAACCGTTAACAATGCAGGACCATTTCTTCATAATGAAGTATTTTTCGAAGTTGGACTTGAGTTGGGCTATCATCAAATTTCGATACGCCCGCAAGATTGCTACAAATCCGCGTTCCAGACGTAGTACGAGCATGTTGAGTGGGTTGTCATACCTTTCGGCCTCACCAATACCCTGACGACTTTTCAAGCAGCGATAACCAACGCGATGTTGGACTGGTTTGTGTTGGTCAAATGCAACCTCCTACGACAAAAGTTGGACCATATCATCACATTGGAGGGCATTAGTCCGTTTCGGACAAGATTCAAGCCGTCCAACAGTGGCTGGGACCGAAAAACGTTAAGAATGTACGCTTGTTTCTCGGCCTCGCCGGCTATTATTAACACTTTATCAAAGGCTATTTGAAGATCGCGGCTAACTTATTCAAGCTTCAATGCGAGGACTGGTCGTTTGACTTCGACAACGATGTGCAGACTTCCTTTGTGGCCCTCAAAGCGGCCTTGCTATCCGCAAAGATTTTACACATCTACGACCCGCTTTTGCCAACACGCTTCACTACCTATGCGTCCGGCAATGGTATTGGTTATGGCTTGGATTGGCCCCCGGTCGAGTACCTTAGCAAGAAGGTACCCGTTGTGCCCTCGATTGACGACGCACCGAAGGAGATATTGGCCTTCATCCTCGCACTTAAACAGTGGCGACATTTTCTTCGCTGAGGATGTCAATTCCGAAGGGTAACGAAAACAATCCATTGGGCTTTTACAAGACTCAAGACACAGTGAATAGTACCATCACCCATTGGGTGGCTTTCATTGACCAGTTTCACTTCCAAAATCACATTCCGGGAAAGCCAAACCGTTTTGTGGAGGCTCTTTTGCGACACCCGGACCTTTGTACCAGTCTACTCGATGTTCGAGGTTGACGAGGACTTGAAGGACAGCTTCATCTGCAGATACCTAGTCGACCCCGAGTTTCAGGACAAGTACGCAAATTGCTCCTCTCCAAATCCGACGCCATTGCACTATCGGATCCAGGAGGGCTGCTAATCCACTCGCAGGGGAAATGATCTTATTCGCGTGAGAAGTGATCCACACTTGCGAACGCGACTTCTTGGTGAGTTCCACCACGCTTCCTCCACTTGACACTTTGGAGCCAATCATACGATTGGCCATGACGAGCACGTTTGGCGACCCAGGCTTCTGTATTGCGAGTCATGCGAGGTTTGTCGGCGTTCCAAATCCCACAACCATCGTCCGTTGGCCGAGCTGCAACCATTACCGATCACCCTAGGACGACGGGAATCGATTGCCATGGACATCACCGGACCGTTTCAAAAGCATAAGACCGGTATGGGTGGGATTCTTACGGTGGTCGATCAACTCACCAAGTTCACAATGTTTTTGCCTTGCCGCTGTCAAGCGAAGGCACCGGAGTTGGCCGAAGTACTTTATGACAGTTAGATTCGCATCAAGGGTTACCCCAAGAAGATGTTTGTGACCGCCACACTTGGTTCAAGTCCAACTTTTGGGTTGGCCATCTCAAATGATGGGGCTCATCTCTCAAGACGAATTCGGCTCACCGCCCACAAACCGATGGTCAAATGAAGAGGGTGCATCAAACGGCACAGGTTCTTCGCACTCTAATCCATCCCGACCAGACCGATTGGGTTGAGCGCCTGCCGAACGTAGAGTTTGCTTGCAACTCATCCATTCATCCAGCTATCAGGATTTCACCCTCAAGTTCGAGCATGGCTCGCGGATAACGTCACAATTGGACACAATCATTCCAGGGACAACCGAAATCACGACACCTCGCCTTCATTCCACGGAGATGCAAGAGCAACGGATGCAAGAGCGACAGATGCAAGAGTCAAAGCACGGGACCACATGTCGAAGGAGCAGCTACGCATGAGTCGTCAAACCAATCGCCAGCATCTTCCTTTGTTTCATGCAGGTGACCTTGTTTGGGTCTCCACCACAACATTCAGCCTTGAACAAAACATCTCTTGCAAGCTCCTTCCAAAATGGATGGGGCCTTGGCGAATTGTAGTGCCCGCTGCTGACGCACTGGAAGGACCTTCATTCCTAATTCCCGTGTCCTCCCACTTGCCCATCCACCCGGTCTTCCATTGTTCAAAGTTAGCTCTGTTTGTTTCAACGAAACACAACAACTTTCCCCGGCGACGATCGCCAGACCCACCTTCCATGGATGGTTTTCAGCAGTTCAGCAATATCATTTCCCAGCAGTGCTACGCCAACAAGCTGTCAGAATACTTAGTTCATTTTTCTTATTGTGGACATAGGGCTGAACGTTGGCTGACCCCGGAACTCCAGGCAACAGTCCCTGTGCTCGCACGTTACGAACGCAAGCAGCAAGGCAAGCCGACACCTCGGCTCCACGCCGTACTAGCATTCAGGTTCCACCTTCGGATCGTCAGCTTTGCCCTCGACCTGGCTTGACTTCATAACGAGGGGGTGGTGGTACATGCTGCGCCTGCACAAAGGCCCAGTTTCGGAGGCCCGACAGTCACAGGGTTCCCCGGGCCGAACGCCATTCAGGCATGCGCCCTGAACACCCACGGCCAGCCATAGGGTAGCAGGATACAATTTGAGGGAGCATTTAATGATATATTTATTCATTTATTTATTAATTCATTTGCTGTCCTATTTACATCTGTTCAGGCATCTTTTGTCTGTACGGACAAAGCCCACGTTTTGGGCATTCTTCATTTGCAGTCAGGCCCTGTCAGGCCAGGTTCATGTTCGTCCAGTAGCGGGCAGTCCCTACTGCATCAGCAGGGAGGGCCTGGACATCCCGTAGGGACCCAGGCAGGCCATTTCAGGCCAGGACCACAGGCACACGAGCGAGGCCCAGTACTATATATAGTTGGGCCAGGGCAGGGCAGACACACAGTTCGAGTAGCTCATTTTTTGGGCTACATGCTGATGAAGCCGCATGATACGGCGCTGCAGTATGAGGTAGAGGTGTATGTAGGAAGAAGGGTGGAGGCCATACCCGCAACGGCGAGACACGTACCTGGGCGCCATAGCCACACTCCACGCCAGCGACCTGCAGCACCACAGCGCCGATGGCCGTACCTGCAGGTGAAGCCGTGAGGAGCACAACATCTTCTTCTTCTTCGTCCGGTCCTCCTCCCTCCTCCTCCTTTCAGAGAGAGAGAGACAGAGAGAGTTTACAGGCAGAGGTTACATTGGGCCATGAGGCCCACGATCTGATTCCACATTTTTGGGGCACACATTGATCGGACATTCAGCAGGGGGACTATTTTTGGCGTTCACTGTCGCGATCTTGGTCTTCTCCCTCATTTCCATCTTCGTTTCGCCTCTTCCCCCATCTCCTCATCTGTGGTATCTCCCGATGTGCATGCTCAAGGAGGGACTATTTTTGGAGTTCACTATTTTGGACATTCGGCACGGGGACTATTTTTGGAGCCGACTATCGCGATCTTGGTTTTCTCCCTCATTTCCATTTTCGTTTCGCCTCTTCCACCATTTCCTCATCTGTGGTATCTCCCCATGTGCATTGTTCATGCTCAAGGAGGGAGCATTGTTCTATGCATGCGGTCCCTCGTCGTGTCAGTGTCTGACAGGTCTATTTCCGTATGTATCAGGATGTACATTTCTTGTCGATGCTTTGCTGACATTGCAATGTCCATTCGAGTCATTTTCATCACTTTGCAGATCCTTGGCTTCATATACATTGCTCGATCAAAGCATGTATCAGTTAGCAAAACTTAAAACAGTCAAAACTGTGCACTTCAGGCATGGTTGGTCATCGGCTAGAAACTTGCTGCAAAGCAAACTCATCAGGCTTCTTCCAGGACATCAGCATCGTCAAACAGGATCAACATGGTTTTCATCGTTGAGCGCAGACATTTTCACTCACTTGCAGTCCGCAAGGATTTATTGAAAAAAGCCAGTTTCCAACTTCAGAAGTCGGAAAAATAATTGATTTCCGAAAAGCAAGTTTAACAAATGGGAAAACCACGCCCTAAAAGAAAAAGAATTCCATGAATTAGATCGAGACGGAAACTAACATGTGCGCGACTCCGCAAACTGCTGCATTCCCCAATACCAGACTCTGCCGGAGCACATCTGGTTCGCCAGCGAAGCGCTTATGGTTATGGCGGGCTGGCAAGAAATCTGCATTGCAGTTTGATTCTTTTTTGTTTTTTTTTTAGCTATAAGTGAACACTGGCAGAGCCCCGTGGGACTACAACAAGATCTGAGATGGGCACTCCAGGGGCAAGTATTCATCAATGCTGCAATCGAAAACCAATTAGCAAAATTCACGCCGGCTGACAAATGCAGAACAGTCCATCCTTGCCGAGAGGCCAGCAAATCTCCAATTACACACAGAATTCCTCTATGTCACCATATCTGCAATCAACTCTGAACATGTCCAGTTGAGCACCCAGGCACACAAGTCCTCTCATGTTACACATTGGGCCAAGAAGCGTTGGCATCGTTTGCAAGAAAAAAAGACTCTTCAAAAAAATTGTACAAAACAAAATAGAATTCTCCTTGAGCTCCGTAAAAATATTTCACCGTGAAGCACAAAAAAATAGCCTACCAACAAAAATTGCTGGTCACTGCTCTGTGCAAAGCTGCAAGATATCAATTTACAGGCGTAGTGATCCAGTGTTAGGGTTATAGAGAGACTGCAGTTTACATATTTAGTATTTACTGGTTTATGATGTCAATTAATGAGCATGAGGAAAATGAGACGGTACTGACCTCACATCTGACCTCACATCCGCCCCGCATCGGCTTCTTTCTTTCGGGTGCTATGCACTCGCCGTGGTCCTATTACGGCCAAGCATTGGGCGAGCTACCGCAGCACAACTCCATTCCACAGAGGTCTTGCGTGCAGGTCGCTCGGTTCCCTAGACAAAGTTGTTTAAAGCACTTCCAATGCAAGCCTCGTATATTTAGGACAGACCATTGAAGTCCAATTTTGGTGCAGGGTGGCTGGGCCCAAGCGCAGAGGACACTCCACCTGGGGCATCATCGCGTACCTTGAGTGATGTTACCAAATCCCAACAAAATAGAGTCGTCACATAGCCCTCTACCGTTCGTTCACTGGGTGATCCATAAACCCACCTTTTTCCGTACGAAAAAGTTCAGCAGAACATGGTCCCCGACTCCCCACTTCCGTGTCCGTCCAAGCGCCAACCTGCTGCCGAACAACACGGTCTACCACCAATATCAGCCAGATGGATGGTGAAAATCAAATGGAGTTCAGCTCCACGTAGTTTGCCCACCTGCACACAAAGCAACTTCGCTTCTAGCTCAGCTCCTTAGGGCACGAAGGGTGATGACCATTAGCGGTTTGGGACAGCGCCGCAATATGGTAAGCAACCATGTCTTGAATTGATCCTACATATATCATGGAAAAAAAATACATTTCCTCCATACAATTCCAGTATATGCATCCACTCCATTCCAGAAGTATGGCTGCGAGAAGGAATTGAGTCTGGGGTAAGTAACCATTACAAAGTACCGACCTCCAAAGAGATATAGATCATCAGCTTGCTGGCGTATCCATGGCCAGGAGAGGGAGTTTGACACATTGATAACAGGAGGGTTTGGTAAAGAAAGACACTACTTTCGTGGAAGCCAGACGTTCGTGGTTTCACATCATTCCTTGCCCTCACTTCAAATTTCAAGGCACAGCATTCAAGGCAGACGAAACCATAGCACTGCCATGAGCCCCCCTGTTGCCTGGACATCAAAACCACAGAGAGGTTCCACAACTGGTGAAGACGCAGCAATTGAGCTTCTAAAAAGAACTAGACTGGTGGCAACCCTGTAAGGGCCCCTGCAAATCCACTGCAGGAATGCAAGCAACACTCCTTGAGTGGCAAGCTTGGCCAAAACTGTATGGATACTCCTCTAGATGCAACTAACAGTCCTCGATGCGCATGAAGAAAAAGAAGGAACGCAGCCGCGAGACGAGAAAAAATAGGTAACAATAACAGGGAGAGGCAGGCAACACAGAGCCCTTGTTGGGAAGCCGGAACGAAAGGGAGGAGGATTAGGGATGAAGTGTGAGAAAGGGAGATTCGGCATGTTGGCTCATGTACAAAATATAGCCATTCGGAACAAAAGCCGCAATACCTCGAGATCATCCACCAGTTGACTTCTGTAGTTGGGCTTGGAATACCAGAGAGTTGGCTGACAAGCCGGCCACCGCATCTCCGCTGTCGTAGGTGGGCCAAGAAAAACGACAAGGAGCCGAGGAAACAACAGGGAAGCTGAGAGGAGATTCGCAAGAGAGCCAAGAAAGCATCAGGAATGCATCCTGGATGATGAAGGCGGCATCGTGGTAACCAATAACCTCTTCTTTTCACTAGAAGTCTTGAAAACTTCTGCGCTTTGACAAGGACACGTCCCATCAGATCAAAGCCTTCCATGGTATCGCTAAATAGATTCATCCATCTCCAGTCTGCCCGTCCAGATGGCTTAACACTCTGCAATGTCTGCCAAAGACACCAAAAAACATGTCATTCCCTACCATCATCGCATCAACAACACCAAACACGCAATCCGATGATACTCCCTCCTGCGGCAGCAGGCCAGTCTCAAGTACTATACTACTGAAAGCAGTTGGCAGCCCATGCACAACTACAAGAAGCACTGTTTCCAATGCGCACTACTCTCTAGAATATAGGACTAAGTTGTGAATGAGAACAGGGACTGGAACGGATAGTTTCATCGGATGGTTCTGTGCCCAAGATAGAAACGCACTGTACTGACTGACAACCATCCTTCCCTCGCCATCATCTTCATCACTCCCCACCCAGAGTAGAGGATCGTTGGGCCTCAACTATTGTGGTCACCTAAGTAGAGGTCCAAGACTTTCCTCGGACGGTTCCGTGCCCAAGATACAAACGTACTGTACTGACTGACAACCATCCTTCCTGCGCCATCATCTTCATCACTCCCCACCCCGAGTAGAGGATTATTGGGCCTCAACTATTGTGGTCACCTAAGTAGAGGTCCAAACAAGAGGACTCTGAATACTGGAACACACAAGGTGTGCAACTGGCAAAATCCGAGTGGCGAGTGTCTCATCAGAGGAAGTGGTACAGTACGGGAACAACCACCTAGCAGGAGGCCGTACACCTTCAGAACTATGGCAATGAGATTCAAACATGGACTTGTGACAGCTGTCTTGAAAACAGCAACGGAATTCCACAAAGCTGTTGATCACGAGTTTCAGCTTTGTGAACTTGCTGCATCCATGGTCCCGGGGATGAACCCAGGCAGGTTGGCCTTGAAATCTGGTCCAGCAAGAGTAAGGAAGAAGACGAGAGATTACTCACCCAGTTCTCCACCACTTAGCCTGCGTGGATGGGATATACTCGCCTTCTTTCTGTGGCCATTGCCACAGGCGAGACATTACAACCGCGAGGACCTCGACCGAGGGCACGCTAAGCCTTCTCCAACAAGTCAAGGGACACCTGGCAGTCACCCAGGTGCAGACCCTTCCCATCCTCTTCCTCCACAACCTGAGGCACCTTGGCTGTGCGACTTAACCAGATCCAGCAGAAGTCGTAACGGAGTGTACTGCGCTTCGCCCACATTTCAAATCCACGACTCATAGGCAGGGCATGCCCTGTTAGGCAACCCCTCGATGCTAGTCCAAAGCTGCATAAGTTTGGAGACACTTAAGGAATTCCTCTATCCATTATATACAAAGAATAAGAGCTAAATGCACACCACCCAGCCCGACCTTGCATTCTCCTACACATACCCACTTCAACCTCTCCTCAGGTTGAAAGTCCCTGCAAAGGCAACGAGAATATTCAATCAACTCGTGAGAACACCCATGGCTTCGTTCCAGATGCAAACAACTGAATTGGCGTTTCTTAGCCGCAAAGCCATGTGAATTCTTCTCTCTGATTGAATTGGTGAAACCCAGCCATTCCTCCAGGCATCTCTAGCCGCCAGCACCCTCAACACCTTTCTTTGCTACCTCCTCTGCACTGCTTGAGGGAGAAGGCATACGTGGAAGGCTTTGCCTCCCTGAATGATCTGCACCCCCACCTCTTGCAGCAGGATTACCTCCACAAGATCTCCTTCGAAAACCTCCGACTGAATTTGCAGGCTCCGCCGTAGCAATCATGGAGGGCGAAGAGACTGCAACATTGCTGTCTTTTGACGACCCCATGCTTTCCTGTCCCTCTCGCCGATCCTCACTCATGGCTCGGGTTTCAGCAATATCATTTGCTGACACGCTGTCACCGTTCATTACGCCACTTCCATCTTCCATACACGAGTCAGAAGGAAGGTTCCCCTTCTCACAATACCGATGCCATAGATTCCGGAATGTCGACTCCAAGCCAGCGGTGAAGTTTTGACCATCGCACAATGGAGAAGAGCGCATCTGCTCACGCAGGCTCGCCCTGAGTGCAGCAAGCTTTGGAATGTCACTTGCGAGTTTCACCACCATGTCCACATACTGATCCTCTGTTTTGGCAATGAGATCATCTCGGCCTGATAACACACATCAGTAACAACACGTCCATACAGGGTTAAGCTGTTTTCAAGCGCTTAAAACAATCCTTCCTTTCCACCCTCCAACCAAATATCCTTCTCTATGCAGATTCGTACTGCTGTTCTCTACCGCTGCACAAGAGAATCAATGAGATACCTGAAGCCTACATAAGTGTGCATCTACAGATTTCATATCCAGAATCTCTCTCTCTCTCTCTCTCTGTCTCTCTCTCTCTCTCTCGCACACACACACACACACATAAGTCTGCATCTACAGATTTCATGTCCAGAATCTCTCTCTCTCTCTCTCTCTCTCTCTCTCTCTCTCTGTGTGTGTGTGTGTGTGCGTGTGTGTGTGTGTGCGTGTGTGTGTGTGTGTGTGTGTGCTTGTGTGTGTGTGTGTGTGTGCTTGTGTGTGTGTGTGTTTGTGTTGTCATGTTCCCTATACACACCTCCACAAAGAAACGCACGACTGTTCCAGATTGTTTCATCGGACTTTCACAGATCGTCTGCGCATGTGTACTTAGAGAGATGCAAACAGAGAGAGAGAGAGGAAGAATACTGCTGGAGCCTAGGCTACCAGAGTGGCCCGAAGACACTTGCCAGGCCGGGGCAAAAAACAAAAAAACAAAAAAAAAAAATTCTACTTCGTTTTTTATTTTAAATTTGGAAAAGAATTTCGATGTGACCCTTAGGAAAAAGTTGTTCAGTTTATTTTCTGCATAAGCAGCATAAAATAGCTTTTTTGGAAAATTCTCCGGATTTTTTTGTTTTTTTCGCTAGGACCTTCCCTGATCCTTGCACGGCCGGGCCGTCTGGGAAAATAGGGTGACCCAGCGGCCCCGCTGGTAGCCTAGGCTGGAGCAATATTTTGAGCGCTGTGTGTGCAGTACACTTCAACGCTTATTTCAAGGATGATGATGAACCGTGATAAAAAGTCGATGATGTGTGTAGCATGCCAACAGACCAATTAAACTAACACTCTACGATGGCCGTGACTTCGAAGAAACGGAAGAGGAACAAAGGAAAAAAAAAAAAAAAAAGACGCAGAAGAAACAATCCCTTTTTCAATCCTCTCAATCAGCACTGCTCGCCCCCTTCTTCACAAATTCGGTCCATGACTTACACCCTGCTGTTCAATTTGGGACCCTTCTCGACGTCCTTCCCCTCCACAACCGCCTTACCGCCAGCAAACTTACCTTGCGTGCTTCACATTATTCCGGCCCTCTCCTCCTGATCCCACAACCCTCCCTCTTTGTTCTTTTCCTGCTACTCCAGCCGCCCAAGATATCGACCGTGACCTTTTCCTCCATCTGACAAGGACCTCCCATTAGTGTTCTTTCTCCCCCTGCCTGCCTGCATTCACGGCATGATCCCCACCTACGCCTTCCAATAGTGCCGAAACCCTGTCCCACTAGCAACTCAGCACCCCCACAAAAATGGAGTCCCAGCCCTAAACGGATGAACGGAGACAAAGGGAAGCGGGAATGTAGGGAGCATCCCCACCTACGCCTTCCAATAGTGCCCAAATCCTGCCCCACTTAACTTAGCACCCCCACAAAAACGGAGTTGCAGCCCTAAACGAATGGATGGATAGACCGAGGGAGGGGGGGATGTAGGGAGGGGTGGAGAGAGAGAGAGGGTGCACTTTGCCACACCAGCAGAATCCACCTATTTCACTTTTCGCTCAAGTGTGAATGGAACTCTCGACCTCGCCAATCTGGTCAAATACACCTGTACCTTTTTCTAGCCGGATTATGATAGGAAAGAGGCTGTACGTCGCCTCGCCATCCAAATCCCCCTATCCCAGATTGTGAAAGGGAGCTCTTCCCCCCCTTCACGTGCCTCTCAACATACAATACCACTGTGTGTGTGTGTGTGTGTGTTTTTGGAGGGGGGGAGGGGGGGGGAAGAGAAATGCCACTGGGACAGTTGTTGGAATGCAACCTGTACGCGCTGCCAAGGAAAAACCAATTGACGTCACCGCGGCAAACACCATTTGCCCACCTGTCCTCTCTGGGCAGCGCTACAGAAAGGAAAGTCCCTACAGTGCCGCAGGGATGAAGGAAATGTGCATCAGCATTTCTGATTCAAGGGTGCCGCACAGCCACTCTACAGAAACCCGCCTAGCTCAGCTAGCACACACCCGTTAACTGTTAAAATACAGACCCAAGTTCAGTAATCCGCTAAACAGAAAAACGCCGGAATAACCTGGGGCCTTGACGCGCCACTCAACAAATGTGAAAGAGGGTCTGGCTCACGCAGTATTGACCGATGCAGAAATTGCTCTGCCTAGCTCGTAGCAGAATCAAGGAAGACCAGGAAAAAGAAAGTCCAAAAATCTCTGTGTCCCATATACACTTGGATGGCTGGGTGAATCATGACCGAAGGGTTCCACGCTGTTGGTTGATCGTTGTTGGCTGGAGGCTTCATTGGCATGGCTGACTAAAGTGAGTCTCCATTGCAAGGAACCTGACTGTTCACATTTGCTGGAGTGTTCAATTGCCATGCACATTCGTCATCACACAGATAGGATAACTTCACACAAAGCCAATGTCGAGACGAGGTAGGAACCAGAAAACGCAGCTCATATTATCAAATTCATATTATAAAAGAGTATCTTCAGTTCAACGTTCAACGCCAACGAACCGCAAGTCTTCTTCCGTCATTTGCCAGCATAGAGCCTGGCTCAACCAGCATCTCCCTTCAGATCACTAGTGTGGCGCACACAGGTAGGCATTCACCATTTCCCACTTTGTAGCCTGTCTTCTCTCTCTCTGTCTTCTCTCTCTCTGTTTTCTCTCTGTCAAGATCCCTGTCTTGGTTCCCTTCTGTCACTATGCATGCACACTCCTCATCTACGAGAATCTACTCTGAATGCCTCTCACTGATATCCTACTACTAACCCCTCTACTGCTTCTACTAACTCAGGCTGGCGCAGCTATGGCTTCCCTGCAGCCAGCGCCCAGCTCATCTCCCTTCTGGCGCAGTTTCTTCTGCCAGCGCCCTTCCCTGCACTATAGCGCACAAGTGCCTCAGCACTTCCACGCAGCACTGCCAATGGGGATCTGTCTGGTGGGGAGGCTGCCTCGTCCTTTATAGTGCTGGCCTCCCCTTGCGAGGGCTGAATTCGGCCTGTCTTAGGTCCTGTTCCAGTCCCAGCCTCTGTGGAGTGTGTCCCGGTACCCTTTCCTTCAAGGTCTGTTGTTGCTGCGGCCTTCAGGCCTGAATTTTGGACTTAGAGCCTGTATGTAGACTCTCCTTCTGACTTAATTCGTGACTGGGACTTTATCCTTTTGACTTCCTTTAGACAGACATCTACTGCTCGAACAGACACACATTCTGCACGAACAGGCACACATACTGCACGAACAGACACATACTGCGCGTACAGACACATCTCTTATATGAACAGACATGACTTGCACATCCCCTGGATGAACAGATGTGACTCCCATATGCAACTGTTCGTCCAGGGGCACAACTGTGACCTTTGACATTGACTTTAACTTAGTTAGGATGTGACTTTTGACCCAGAGAACATGTCCTTTGATCTGCTTTCATGAGTTGGGGCTCTGGGCGAGTGACCCCACGATGCTGCATTTGTCAAACAGGGTCTGAATCGGGTAAAGGCCCTTTTACATGGCTGACTAAGTGAGTCTCCATGTGTGTGTGGCGTGGACCGATGCAGAAATTGCTCTGCTCAGCTCGTATCAGAATCAAGGAAGACCAAGAAAACGAAACTCCAAAAATCTGTGTGTCATACACACTTGGACGGCTGGTTGATCGTCGGTGGCTCGAGGCTTCGTTGGCATGGCTGACTAAAGCGAGTCTCCATTTGTGTGTGTGGGTTGCGTGGTAGTTGCGACAGTCTTTGAGTGGCGACGCGAGTTGTTGGTGGACAGCTGTTGGCTGCAGGCTTCCTCAGCATGGCTGACTCAATCTCCATTTGTGTGTGCGGGTTGCATGGTAGTTGCATAGTGTTAGAGCGGCGGCGCGAGGCAGAGGCAAGTGTCGCATACCGTAAAGGTGCAGACCAGAACAAGAACCGACCTCTCTCACAAAGTACAAGATAGCATAGTGGAAGGCTTACATACCAATGATCCGAACAATCAATGTTGCAATGCAGCCCAAACTTAGATCATCATCATTCCATGGTGTGAAGGGGCCCGGCGCTCACACAGGAAGAATGCGCCAGTCCCCAACCATACACAGATGAAGAAAAGGGGGGTTAGACAAAGAAGAAGGGAAGATGGGAACACCAAGTCTTCGGTACAGGTCCCAAATAATCCGTCGTCAAATGTCTGAATCCCAATGTCGAGTCTGGATCCAAATGTCGTCAAGTCCCAAAGTCACCAATCTCTCTCTCTCTCTCTCTCTGTCGTAGTCTGCAGGTACTGAGAAGTTAGGAAGCGAGAGGCTGAGGGAGAGATGGTGGACTTGGAAGAGGAAGAAGAAGAACTCTCTCTCTCTCTCTCTCTCTCTCTCTCTCTCTCTCTCTCTCTGTCCGGTACTAACCTGTGAAGGTGGCGCCTTGATGCAGGTACATCGAAGATGAAGCTGGAGATATGGCGCCACAGGTAAGTCTCCTTGGCCTCCGCCAACCATCTCTCTCTCCTAATAGCGCCCAGCGCTGAAGACTACTGCTAACGCTACTACTACTACTGCAGCGCCTACAGAGAGCTGCTGCCGAATCCTGAAGACTGCTTCCTGCCTCCTGCACGTGAAGTGCCTGGGAAGTTCCTATGAACTACCTCGTGACTGTCTCCGACTCCTGCAGCCTGCAGGGCGGGCCAGTCCTATATAGTGCTGGCCCGTCCAGGAGGCTGCTCTTGCCAATGCCAAAACGTGCCAGACCCTGGTGTTGAAGTTCAAACAAAGGTTGTCTTGAAAACAGGCCAAAAACGGCCTGTGCTAAAAACCCTGGTCTGGTGCCTAAGTTTCAGGGCAGGTCGACTTTACGAGGGCCTGAAAATGCCCCTCGTTTTCAGGCTTTTAGGCTGAAACGACACAGGGCCTGTAGGCCCTCGTTTTCAGGCTTTCAGGCTGAAACGACACAGGGCCTGTAGGCCCTCGTTTTCAGGCTTTCAGGCTGAAAACGACACAGGGCCTGTAGGTCCTTGTTTTCAGGCTTTCAGGCTGAAAACGACACAGGGCCTGTAGGGCTCTTACTTTCCTTGTTTGGTCGGGCCTTGCAGGCCCATGTGGATGCACAGTATGCCACACAAGGGTGCAGTGTGCAAGGCAGAAGCATGGTGGGGCAACGTGATGCAGAGGCATGGCGCGGGGCTGCAAGGCAGAGGGAAGGCGAAGCGGCCCGAGGCTAAGGGCACGACCCACTGCAACAGAAGGGGCCCCGAGAAAACTACCTGAAGTTGCCTGCGATCCGGATTGGTGTCTTGCCCTTTGCCCCAGACAGGCAGGCCCACAGGCATTTTTTCCCGTGTAACCCCCCTGCTGGTCCTGCCACGTTGCGGAATGCCCATGTCAATTCATGTGGCTAGGAGGTTGTGTGGTACTGTCAAACTCATACTTTTGAACTGCAGTCTCAATGAAAGTCACCTTGTTGATCACTCCCTCCACTCTGCGCCCTCCGGCCTGTCAGGCTTGGAATTCTCTGTCTCCCTCTCCCTCTCTAACACTCCCTCTCCCCCTCTCTCTCTCACACACACACACGCAATGCAGAGGGGGGGGAAGGTGTAGTAGAGGATCAATAACGAGAAGAGAGACGCGGGGAAGCAGCGGGACGAAAGAGAACGACTCCAGACAATGACAAAGGTGGTCGAGATGCACGTTGGGTCTCGAGAAAGGTGAGTGAGGCAGAAGGTTGCGAGCAGGAGAAGAGTGGGAAGAGGATGTCAGGAGAGTGGAGGAGGTGGAAGGCTTGGGAAGGGGGACGCAATATTTCAAGGGAAGGCGGGGTCGGGATAGGTGGAGGACCGCATAGACACAGAGGAAGGCCGTCATCCCTCCAATGCCTAAGGGGCATTTTGAAAGATAAAAGGGCTGGTAGGCTATATGAGAATTTGTTGCGCCCTTGGAAAATTTGTACGTACTGAGAGTATTTTAACAAGACAGACAGGTACACAGTAGGGGTATATCGTAAACATAACTGGTCGAACAGACGGGATGGGATACGTCTTTTATTGTCAGAAGGATATTCCGCTTCACCATATGACCTCTTAGAAGCACTTCGGCATTTTCCTAATCTTTTGGGAGTCTATCACAAGTTTGCCCGTTTTCAAAAGGTCTTTCGATTAGTTATGTGCTGTGACTACCCAGCACCTTGCCTGGGCTTCGCACGACCTGGACCACCAACGTGGGAAGACCCAAATGACCCATGGTGTCCCAAGCCAGCTTGGACTGGCCACACAATTTCAGTGTCCCACAAAATTTTAGCACTTATTTCTGGCAGGCACAATACTACCAAAGAACACACTCAACTGCAATTTTCTTTCCCAACAGGCCGAAAACGTTCTGATCAAAACACATAGGACAAACATGAATGCAATCCAAATTCTTGCGACACGACTAACTGGCATTTTTTTGGAGTGACATGCAATGATTTCGATTCCATTCAATCATGAATCCCAACATACACATGCAATGATCTTTTTCAGATCGATTTGTCTTAATGGGTCTTAAAGCAGTTCAATTAGAATAAAGAGGAGCCCAATTATGCAAATTAGTGCTGCAAAGGAACATAGAACAAAAGACTGACCTATATGATGAAGCAGAGTGACTCCCACATTATTTGCATGAGCCATGCCCGCCATCGTCACACAGGGGACACCCATGTACAACGATTCACAAGTTGTAGTTGTCCCCGCATAAGGAAAAGTATCCAGGCTGTTAACGTACACATACAAGCGTGAGACGATCAGAATTAGATAACCGATCTCTCTCTCTCTCTCTCTCTCTCTCTCTCTCTCTCTCTCTCTCTCTCTCTCTCTCTCTTCCGGTCTACTCTTCCCGGCATCCTCACCCCTTTGCATTCTCCATCCTTCACAATTCAAATCCCACTTGCCCCCCACTTTCATTTCACAAGCTCTCTCTCTCTCTCTCTGTGTGTGTTGCCATCATGGAAAGTTTCCAGTGCACGTGATTTCGAGTTGGAGTCGCCAGGAAGGATCCGTCTAGAGAAGGTACCCTAGCCCTTCTCAGAACAACTGCAGATTCGGGCTCCAGCTTATCAAACACTCTCTCTTCCCTCTCATTCATCCTCCACAGAGGAAGCTCATGAGATCAACAGAAGACAGCTTCACTTTCACTTGCTTTTCCTCTTCCTCACTTTCATGTGCATCCTTTTTCCTTCCTTTCTTTTTCCCCATGTGTGTCCTACTATTGGTCACTAGTTTTTTGACATCTGATCCATCAAGCTATCTCCTGTTACTGAGCAGCATACGCTCCAAGACATGCACGGAACATTCAGAGATTCAATTTGACATGCTGATATCAGACCAGATATACTCCAAAAATGTGACACTAGGGACAAAAGAGCCCCCCATGAGCACCAGGCCTGAAACATTTGTTACAAGCAATAAAAGTATTCACTCAACATCTTCTCAGAGCGCATCGCATCTCTGTGAGTGCATATCATCACCCTGTCCCTAACCATCTCTGTAATAGCCAGAAGCGTCAGAGCACCTCAGAAGACATGTACCTCAACATCCACAGAAGACATGTACCTCAACATCCACAGAAGACATGTACCTCAACATCCACAGAAGACATGTAACTAGTAACATGAGTGCCAAAGCACAAAAATGAAGGGAAAGTTGTGAAATTTTGAAACTAAGTCTTCGGCATCAGGAGACACAGAGGCCATAGTTGTCCCTACATATGTACTGGACAAGAGAAGCACCGATAATAGGACAAGAAAAGAGAACAAAGTGCGCCAGAAGGTGGGTTCGGCAAACGGATGGCAATCTGAGAAATCCCAAAAGAGCGGAAAAGACCAAATCAGGCCACAAACCGACGAAAGGGCAGAAGTTAGAACAAGAGGGGAGGTTGAACAAAGATGAGGTGGAAGACAAGGACTGGGGGGAGGAACAGAACGGGGAGGGAAACAACGGAGAGGAGATGACAAATAGATTGAAACAGGAAAGAAATGGAAGTTAGGCCCTGTTTTCTTCTGAAGGGAAGTTATCTCCCTTCAGAGGTAACATTGTGAATCGCATGTACTGGCTTACTGACCTTATGTCCATCAAAGAATACGACTGCATGTGGTCATGGTTTAGAAGAATGAGTGGCAGGAGATCGATACGCACGGAGTCCACCCCCTCTGCTTCCATTGTACTCATGAACCTCTCGCTGACACTGCTGCAAGAGAATGGCTTGCACTTCACCACCAGCCGGGAATTTGGCACTTCCCTCAGGATACGTGCCCAGACCCTAATAACTTTTGGAGTTATCTGCAAGCCCCCAAACCCAAAAACAAAACACATGGTGAGCATAAACTCCATACTTGCACTAACGAAACCCATCACCTTGTACGCTGAGATAACAAAATTCCAAACTTCGCTTTTTCAGAAAGAGTAGCGTAAAAGCTATTGTACCACACCGCAACACTCCCTGAAATTTGATAGTGACCGTACTTGCTTGGTAAAAACTCGCTAAAAATATTAGACAACACAGTCAAAAAACATGCAAGGCTCAGCCATTTCACGTAACAAGAGCAGAACCTTTACAGCTCATACACATCTGCTGTATAGATGAGTGCACTGTTATCTGGCCAGTTGGCCTAGTGATCACTATTGCTGGTTCCCTCAAAGATCAACCCCCTAAGGATGGCAAAGGTAAACATAACAAGTTTGAAAACATCGATACCTAAAGATTCCACTCTCCGTACCACCACTGAAACACTCATTCAACACAGTACTATTGATCTCACCTTCAGGATGCTTTCTCCTTTAATTACCTATCCATGTAGGCTCTTTTTTTGTGCGCCCAGGCACAAATGTCGTGCTCAGACACAGGTGCTGGTTGTGTGTGAGCAGCACCCAGGCACGGTCCTGCCAGCCCCAGTGCAACATCAAAAAAAAATAATTCAAATGATTCTAAAAAGAACTATGATGTGCACTTTTGCCTGACAGGCACCTCATCATTCCTACTTGAATCGAAGATGAAAAGAAAACTGAGAAATCAAACTAAGGCACCCCCTTCAACCCCTTTAAGCCCATTTAACACCCCCCTTCCCCCCACTTACAGTCGACTGAAAAACAAAAAAGACCCCGGATCTGGGTTGCTTCTGGTCAGTACAGAAAATCCCCACCGAAACACCTACGGAAAAAGAACAAAAAATCCAGAGTTCCAATATGCCCGTGGTACCCTGGGTAGGCAGACACCTGGGGCGACCGGAACAGATGCAGATGCACACCCCTTTCAGCCCAGTCATCCATCAGTTTCAAAACGTTATTTTATATATAAATCATATATATCGTCAGACAGCTGCCCGGTAAACCGTAGGCAGCAAGGGAGAAGAAGACAACAAACGAGGGGCTGTGACAAACTATTCCGTCCGAGTTTCACAGAATCATCAGGAGGCTGATATATATACATATATCATTTTTTTGCCATTTCATATATAAATTATTCATAGATATATATATATATATAAAATATAGAGCTCCAGCTGTTCAAACTTCCACTCAACTTCCCCGAAATCCAAACACTCTCCTTGCCATCTACCCAAGCCCTCCCTTGCTTAAGGGGTGTTATTTCCAACATTTTCAACTCCAGCATACCATGCATGAGTACTGCAAATGAATACTCTCCGCACAAAGCCAAGAACAGCCCGTAGCTCATACGGTGAGATGATGTCTGAGATATTAAGAATACCTTGGCAAGGTTGTTGAAGCTACCAAAAGTGACAAAACCACCGGTCAATGCTGGTGTTGGAGCCACAGGCCCTGCTTCTGGTGATGGAGTGTAGCACAGGAAACATTTTGGCAGTCGCACCAGCTCTTCCACATGCCTGCAGGAAAACAACATACACACTACAGCCCTTAGCCTTCACCGAA